TGGAGGGGGTGGGGAAGGCGACCTGCTGCCACTCAGCTAGATGAGGTCCACACAGATCTCTTGGCCCTTGCCAGCTTTCAGGATGTTCCAAGGGATTCGTGGCTACTGCCTCCGGTCCTCTGTCTCCGACCTGGAAAACGCCATCACCACGTCCTCTGCACCTGCAGACCAGGGGAAGAGAATTGCTGGATGGGCCTCGGCATCGGGCTGCAACCTGGGACCAGGCAGGGAGGCTGCGGCCCTCAGGTGTTGCGTTCAGTTCACCCTAGCAAGGTGCTGAGTACAAAGCAGTGCCAAGGAAGCCCACCTCCCCTCTAGACCTTCCCTGCAGTCTGGCCAGGGGACATGCCAGCAACCTTGCTGCAGGGCTGCGGGCTGCTGCGGGCTGCCAGGGTGAGGCGCAGGCTTGCTCAAGGCTACACAGCTAAGAGGTGAGTGAGAACCCAGGCTGGTCCTGGAGCAGGGCTCTGCTCACATCCCTTGCTCCAAAGCCACCAATGCCAGAGGTCCTTCGAAACCTCTATTTTCTTAAGATTCTTATCTTGACCCCTTTGGAGGACCTTGCTCATTATGATTTCTAGTAGCCACACCTCTTTGCCCAAGCCCAACACCTGTTCCAAGGAGCATGACCAGGCCCGGTTCCAGCCTGCAATCAGTCTGGCTCCTCTGGGGACAGATAATGGCCATAATCTTTATTACTGTTGCTTTTAATTGTGGATTTGAGACTCTGGTCCAGGCACTCATGAAATCACTTCCTTTGTCTTGTTTTCCATAAGACAGGCTCTGACATGCAGCCAGAAAAGGCAGGAGGAGGGGAGGGAAAGCACTTGAAATAATGACCTGCCTCTCCCACCCAGAGCTGCTGACCCTGTAGGGCAGGTGAGCTGGCCGGCGGGTACCACTGTGCCTCCCAGGCCCTGACCCTCCCCACGTCCTGCCACTTTCTCCCCTATTTCTAAAGGGCAGTTCTTGGTTGTGCCCAGAGCAGTAATAGTCGGCTGCCCGTGGCCTTTCTGACATGCTTCTCTTCTGTACTGACTAGAGGAGTTCTCCTGGGAGGGGACGATGGAACAGCAGGCACACAAAAGCCACCAAAGGGTGAGTGGTGTGGGAGGTGCACAGTGGAGCTTCTGGCCTGTGAAATGGAATAGGGGAGAGGGCAGGATTCCGCCCGCCAGGCATGGTGTTGGCTGCTTCATCCACACCACAGGGCATTCTCTGCTTCCCAATGGCAGTCTCCTGCTGACCTCCTTCCTAACTGTCCTGCCTCGTGGGCAGTGGAGGGGGCACCCTGCTGCAGGTGCTGCAGAAGGAGGGCTGTCCACAAGGGCGGAACACGGCAGAAATGTGCCTCTGGTTTGGCACCAGAGCTCAGGCACTGTGGCCACACACCTGCCTCGATGGGGTCCGAGCAGCTCACCCTGAGGAGGGGAATAACGCTCTGGAAAGGAGCCCAAGATGTCTGACTCCTGGGGATGGGGGTCCTTTATTGAGAAGCCCTGCAAGTCCTCCCGTCTTCTCAGGGACATTCTGTTCTCGTCTTAGTCCCAGGACCACACATCACTGCAGGCAGAATTTTCCTAGCAACCACTGAATCCAGGATTACATCATACCCTGCATGGCAGCTGAGCTGGTTACCTAACAGATGCTGCTTTTCCCTAGTGCCGCCTCCCAGCTCGCTAATCAGTGGGGGGCTAGAGGGAGACCAGGCAAGGGGACTTGTCAGCACAGGATGCCTGGCTGCAATGAGCAGTGGCAGACCATGCGCTCTTTCCATGCCTGCCTCAGGGGCTTTCTCACAGGGACCTTGCGCCTCTGTACTGAGCTGCAGTCACAGAAATAGCACTGGCTGCTCCAGGAGGGAATGGAGAGTTGCAGAGGGAATGGACACCGGCTTCTTGGAGAAGCCCAGGCCCAGGGACCAGGGCTCCTGACACCACAGCTACCTGGTGTGTGGACCCAGGCTGCACTGTGAGAGATGGGAAAGGAAGGAACCTTCTCAAGGTCACACAAGGACTCCAGTGAATATTTAACAGGACACCTGAAGCAGAGGATTTGCTAGAGTCCCGCCGGTGCCACAGTGCCAGCTGGGTGCCCCATCCCTGGTCAGGGTGGGGAAGGCTGCGAACCTGCGGCTCTCATTTACAGAGCCGCCCACTCGCTGCTGGAGCCACTCGCGGAAAGCGCCTGCAGAGCTGCTGCCCATCCCAGGCCATTCTGCTCCTCAAGGACCATGCTGTTTTCCAGGCCTCACCACAGGGACCTGCTTTCCTTTGGGACCCAAAAGGGAGTAGGCTCTTCCACAGCATTCTCTGACCTACCCTTACCACCAGCTGGTCTGGCACCCATCGCTCAACAAGGGCCTGTCCCTGAACCCAAAAGGCCTCTAGATGAGGATGTGCTTTCCCTCTCCTTTTCTCCAAGGAATTTGGGCCAGTTACCTAACAGGGAGGGTGAGCTGCTCAGTTAGTTACCATGATTCCAGCTACTAGAGCTTTAGAGCCAGGAAGGAGCTCAGAGAATGATCACCACAGTCCCCCTCCTTTAAAGGCCAGCATGTGGTGTCTTCCTTGGGTGCTCTCACTGTCATGGAATCATGGGGCTCAGAGCAGGAAGACACTGCAAAGAAGCTAGCAGGCCCAGCCCACTGCCTTCAGGCGATGAGCCGGGTTTCCTGTCCTCTTTTACAGATGAGGCGGTGTCCACCGATTTGGTACTTCTGCCAACACCGTCTGGACTCGGGCTCATAGCTCCTGTTCGCCCCTTCCCGCCAGATGTGAGTGAGTACAGGAGGGGAGAAGCTGATCGGTCTCTCCTGTCCCATACTCTCTAACACATTAAGACAAAAACAGCCAGAACCAAAGACATCACAAGAAAAAAGAACTGCAGACCAGTATCTTTTATGAATATACAGATTCACAATACCTGTGGTATGTAAAAACACTAAAAAATACTAGCAAACTGAAAAAAGCAACACATAAAAATAATTACATACTCTGACCAATGAGGTTATCTCAGGAATGCAAGGTTGGTTTAACATCAGAAAATCAGTTAGTGAATAGAAAAAAGGAAAAAGCCGATATAATCACCCGAATCGACGCAGAAACGCGCCTGATAAAACCCAGCACCTCCCCACGACAAACACATCCAGCACACAGGACAGAAGGAACTTCTTCAGTCTGACACAGGGCATTTGCTAAAACCCACAGCTGTTACCATATTTAATGATGAGACTGGAAGCTCTTCCCCTTCAAGGTTAGGAACAAGGAAGGACGTCTGTACTCTTACCTCTTCTATTTGATATTGTGCTAAAGGCTCTATCCAGGGCAATCAGGCAAGAAAAAGAAATAAAAGGCATCCCAATTGGACAGGAAGAAGAACTACATTTGTAGATAACATAGATCTTAAATACAGAAAATCCTAAGGGATCCACTAAAAAACTATTAGAACTAATAAATAAGTTAAAGTTACAGGATATAGGATCAATATACAAAAATCATACACTAGCAATGAACAATCTGAAAATAAAATTAAGGAAACAATTTCATTTACAATAGCATAAAAATAATAAAATTATTAGGAATAAATTTAACAAATGAATACAAAATTTGCACTCTAAAACATATAAAACATCATTGTTCAAAACATCATGAAAGGAGTTCAAAACAATCCCTATCAAAATCCTAGTTATACAGGACGAATCATTATTTTATAGACAAGGAACCCATAAGCTCAGGGAAATAAAGCAACTTGGTGAATCAGAGGCAGAGGGTGGGCTGGACACAGATTCTATGTCCATGCCTTCACCGCTACGACACTTGCCATTTCCTCTCAGGAGAAGGGATAACTGACCTGCCCAGTCACTCAGAGCACTGTGGGCTCAGACCTCCTGGCAGAGACTGGACCAATCCACCCGTCCCTGTCAGAATGGAACCAAGACCCAGGATTTAAAAAGCAACATCAAAGCAGCGCTAGGGTGCCTTGGAGAAAATTCAACATGGAACCCAGAACGCCACCCTGAGAGTAGCCCCGGCCCTAGATGCCTGTCCCTTCCCCGCCCCCTGCCCTGGCCTGCTGCCTGCCAGACTCCTCCCTAGTCCTATGGCTCACCTGCTATGGAAAGCAGGGCCAAGGTGCTGGTGAGGGCACAGCTCTGCCCAAGGGCAGGGTACCCAGCAGGCCATCCCAGCCCACGCCCAATGCCAGCTTTGCCACTTTAACAGACCAGTCAAGTGACTGGGGAGAGAAAAATGACAAATATGCAGGAGCTTATAAAAGGGAGACTGCCCCCAGTCGGGGGCGGGAGACAGACAATAGGGTCACTGGTCTGTTTGCAAGCTCAGGATGAATTCACAACAGCAGCATCAAAAGCCCAGAACAGGCTCCACACACCAACACCACGCTGGGCCCACGGCCCGCTGGCTGAAGGGAATCTACACGTCACCATCAGGAGGCCTGGCTCACCACAGTGTGCTGAGGCGCAGGAGGCAGTGTGGTTTGGAGAAAGCCCCCAAGACACTCAGACACAACCCCCAATGCCTGGAGAGTCATTCTCAACATTTGAGGCTCTAAGTTAAAGTCTTTCAAAGGTCTTTTCATCAACACGCTAGGCACCTTGATCTGTTTCCGGAATTGTCAGAACATACCCCTATCGGCCACATGGTTACAGCTGGTCAGTGACGGTGGGTGAAAAAGAACAGAAGAGGTACTCGAAGGCGGCCGCAACCCTGAGGCTGGAGGGTGGAGTGAGAGTACTCACAGCCTCTCGTTCTTAGACCTGGCCAGGGAAACCCTAGTGGAGCCCCTCGCCCTTTCCTAGGCGTTGAGAGCTCAGTCCTGGAAATGCACAGACCCTGAGCTCGCAGAGAGCTGGGCTCAGGCCCCAGAGCAGTCCAGGACAGCTCCCAACACCATCCTCCCTCTCCAGGAGGGACCCTGCAGAGGGACCAGGTGAGGAAGGAAGGGACAGGCCTCCCAGCCATCTGTGACAGTGCAGTTCCTGCCATTCCACCAAAGCACCAGGCTGCAGGGGGACAAATCCCAGAGCTCTTCCAGCTCCAGATCCTGCAAAGCCCAGCTCAGAGCTGGCACACAAAGGTGGTCAAAGAGAGAAAATAACCCTGAGGGCAAACCCTAGCCAAGAAATTGACACAAGGTACAA